AACCAATCAAAGCCAGCAACAATGGCCTGTGTTTTGCCCACAAATTGGGAAAAAAAAATGGGATGTTACTTGCCTGAGGCGGGGAAGGAAGGAAGGAGAAGGTTCTCCTCACTGGCTTTGAAAAACTGTCAAAACTGTCAGTGTTAAACTGAAAATACTGAAGTAAAAAGCTGCAGAATAGAATTACGAGAGCTGGTTATATATAAAAAAAATAATCCACTGTTTGCAGCACAAGGCGTTTTCAGCACAAGTTGCTGGCACACTTGCCCATGGCAGGCACCAGGATTGAGCCCCAGGACTGCGGGAGCAGCCTGTGCATAACCCAGCCACCACTTTGGGTCCCCTTGCTACGGCATCACCTGTTCCCCACCGGCAGTGGGTCAGCCTGAAGTTGCCTGAATCATTTGGGGAGAAAAAAGGAAAATAAGCCTGAGAGGAGACCCAAATCTGTCTCTCTAGGCTCAGATGCCAGTGAGCCCAGAGCTCGCCTTGGCTGCTCAGGACCATGCCTGTGACCAAAGGCAATCCCAGAGAAGCACAGAGGCACAGAGCACACCCAGCTGTATTCTACCAGCCAATGAGGCTCATTGATAGACACAACAGTTATTCACTGGTACTCTGAGAAGCAGCATAGAAGGCACTAAAAGGGAGGGGCACTTTTCAAAATTATCCCAGGGAGAACTGCAGCACTGGAGGCCAGCACTGAAAGAGACCCACAGCCCAATCGTTCCCCAAGCATTTTGGGTTATTTGAAACCTTGCATCTTTGTCTTACCTGGGTATTTGTGCAGTTAATAAAAAATGAAAGCTAGTGACTCAGTTGCATAAAAAATAGGTTTTTTTCAAATTGCAAGCATAGCAGAGTACCTTTTTGCAAACACACAAAATGTTTTGGGACTGTAACACTAAATCCTCCCCCAATAAGTTGATATGTTTATTCGGCTTCAGAAAAGAGAAGAAAACTGGCAGTGACCCAAATTTTGGGGAGAGGGGAAGGCATCTGAGAATTTCTTATCATTTTCACAGGGAAGACTCCCAAACAGATAATGTAATTTTTGAACATAGCACAGGTCAGGCCCACAGCGTCTGCCTGGCCAAATATCTAAATCCATTATTTGGCTACTAGAGATATTCTTCAAGGCGGTGCTCAGCTGCCACCTCAGTCTTTATGTGCACTGGCGTCTGCCAGCTGATATTAAACGATTGCCTTTGTCAGGAAACCATCCCTCCTCATAAGTTCCCAGTTCAGGCTACATCCTGGAGTCAGAAGCCAGGCAGCAAAGTGCCTCTTCTGCCAGTAGGATCCGATGCTCTGAGTGCATGAAGGTTTTATCCTTGTCAAACAACTACCAGCTCCTGCAGCCAGCGGGAAGCAGCAGAACCCCTGCTCTCAGTGGCCCAGGACAAGACACCCCTTGTGGTCAGTGTTTTCCTTTGCCCATTTGTAGGCACCAGATGTAGGTGCCCGGTGTGGATGTTACCACTGACCTACTAACTAGCTGCGAAACGTCTGTGCATTAAGACATCCAGCCAAAGACGCTTGCCCCACGACACGTAACGAGGGAGGGCAGCATCACAGATTTTGCAGCCATGTGGTTGCCCACCTCATTTATTAAAAAGTCCACTCTGGCAATTAACAGTTTGCTCTGAGTCCCCTCAGAGAAAGCAAGACCACTGCTTTCGTAAGCTGGTCAGGAGAAACTGAGCTATAGGCCACTTTATAAAAGTTTGGATTAAAGTGGACAATAAAGCACAGGTACCAAAACAAGCTATCTTCAGACCCCTCAATTCAGTATCATTTCTCCTGCCTTTTTTTTTTTTTTAACTCTAATCCTGGAGGAGTTGAAATATTCCCTTTGCCTGAGTTAATGCTGCCAACGTGATGTTGCCTGGAACCACTTACATAAATTTTCATACTACATCAATGCACCAAAATTTTTCACTAGCTGCAGTAAAACAGACTCATATTTTTTGGACCAAAAATCGATTTCACTTTGCACTTTTTGCTATGTGGTATGTGCAAAAAAAATAGAATGAAAAAACAAACACAAATATCACCATGAAAGAAAACTGTGTTTTCCATCTTGAAGGAATGGCATGTTCTCTCTCCCTTCTCTCCACTCTCTGGAGTGCTTTCTATTAATATTAATGTTTTTTTCTGCCCAGATGTTTTCTCCCAGCATAATCTCCCATGTAATCTCTTCACAGGTGTGGAATCTTTATATCAACCCCAAATTGCTTTTTTCCCTGGCTGACCAAAACCACTTTCAGAGAGCAAAGCTTTCACCCTTTCAAAGACGCCTGTAGCACTAAACAGCACGGACTCAAAAAGTAAGACCCCCACAGGCCCTGCCATACCTCTAGGCAGCAGAATGCATTGTGCTATGAAAATGATGAACTAACTTCAGCAGGGTGATCGTATGTTACTCGTGACAGCCAGGAGACGGGAACTGTACCAGGCTTTATATATTCCTCCAGAGAAGCAACTAAACAAGGTGGCTCAGTCCTGCTTCTCAGGTCCTACATCGACGAGCTGTGGAAAGCAATTGCTGCAGGCAGCCGCTTTGCCGTCCATCCTTCCTCACTGCCTCCAAATTGTAAATCCCTCCCAAGGAGAGTTTGTTACCTGCTCTCTCTTCCCAGTTGCTCCCTCAGTCTGCTATGGGATAGCTGTGCTACAAGTTGGGGTTCGTGAGAGCTCATTCAGCTGGCTCCACTTCTCCTTTGGTGGAGAGTGAGATCAAAATGGAAAGGACCACAGGAGGAATAAAGAGGCTCATGTTGATTTCAGTTAAAAAAAAAAAAAAACAAAAGCAGAAGGAGGATGAATTAGATTGGATACCGGGGAGTGATACCAGCACCAGGAGAAAGCAGTCGTTTTATTTTACATTTGGTAACACAATTTTCTTTGGCATGTAAGTCAAAGGAATAAAACTTGTCACAGGCAGTAACAGTCATTTATTCTGTGGCTGTACCTTGAAAAATCCTCCAAGTTTACTCTGGGACCAGGATGTCCTAGTGTGCTGTACAAGGGAACACTCAAGTGTACCTTCCAGACAAAGCAGCATGCAACTCTGTGAACCACAGAGGCACATGAAGCAGCAGAAGCGCGATGGACTGGTTTGGCTCTAGTTAAACTTCAGGTTTGCTGGTGACACTGATTTTTCAAGCCAGGCTTAGGTACCGCTGCAGCACTGGGTGGGTTTGCATTTCACAAACATGGGCTGTGCCTGCAACCTCTCCCATGGGTTGAGCCCCCACTGGCAGAACCAAAGGGCAGCTGTGTCCCCAAATCTCATCTAGCTCTGTAACCCACGACCCTGAGGCAGGAAAGACCCACCTTTTTTACTCACCTTTTCCAACTTTCAAAATAAAAGCTAGTACAATTGCACTTCAAATTTGAAACTACGTTTTCAGAAACACTTAAAGAATCACCTAGAAATGGTTACAAATGCTACTAGGAAGTGTTGCCTGCTGAAGAAGGGCTGGGAGGAATTGCAGACAAAATTATCTACTGCCTGGTGCATTAGGAAAATTCCAGTAAGGCCACATTTCAACTTCTTTCTAGAGTCATGTTTATTGGGGAAACTGCAAGGCAGGAGCGTGTATTGTATCTGTCTGGGAGTGGCACGGAGGCTGCGGCCAAGCCCCTGCTCCCACCACCCACTGAGAGTCGGACCAAGCAGCACACCCGTCTGTCTGATAAAATTCTTCACTGTAAAGAGCGAATTCAAACCAAAATGCTTCCACGCCTGTTGCTGAGGAGCTACATGTCCTGTGTAACTGTAAGGCACTAACTGAGAACTGGGCCAGTGTGTCTAAGCCTACACTTCCCCATCTCACAGCTACAGAAACTGATTTGTCCCATGTTAAGAGAACAAGTCAGCAGCAGCACAAGGAATAAAAGCTGATGTCCTCAATGTTGGCACAAGAAAAATTAGAAACCAACATAGCCAAGTCAAACTGATTTTATTAATAAACTCACAAGAGCAAGTTGATACAAGGTACTGAGAAAAAACCACAGCTTTATGTATCAGAGCAGAACTCGGGAAGCTGCATACTAAAATGTCGATTATGCAAATTTATGTTATGAACATTTTTAGACAAGAATGAAATAGAGTTTATTTTCTTTAATCAAAACCAGAATCCTATGTAGTTTATTAGCCTGGATTTAGAGCACAATGAATATTAATGTAGCCCACCTCTCCCAATTCTACTTGCCAGAAATACCAAGGAAAAAAAAGGTTAGAAAATAGATTCCTGCAACTGTAAATGCAACTAGCTAATGTCAGTGTAAGGCTGCTGGCATCTTTGAAAGGTCACAGAGGCCCCCAAAAAAAGCTTTTGGACCGGAAAAAGGCAACTTCAAAAAGGTGAGAAAGATCTGGGGAACTGGAGGCTGGCCAGCCTCACTTCAGCACCCAGGAAAACTATGGAACAAGCCGTTATAGAGCTGTTCCGGGCACATGAAATACCAGGTGATGGGGAGCAACCAGTCAACACCAATTTACCACGGGCGCATCCTGCCTGACCATCCTGACTGCCACCCAAGGGGCAGTGACTGTCTTTGTGGCAGAGGGGAAACAGCACCTCAACCATGGCAAGGCTGTCAACAGCATGTCCCACTCAGACAGACTGAGGACATGAACTAGGAGGTGGGTGAAGTTCTTCTGGGTCACCAGGCTCAGAAACAGTCAGTGGTTCAAGTCTAACGGTCAGGTGGTTACAAGTGACACTCCTCAGCAGTCAAAACTAGGGCAAAATGTGTTCAACACCTTTCTTAACAGAAGAGAGCTCAGCTAAGGACACTGGTTTGTCAAGCCTGGAGAAGAAAAGGCTGAGAGGAGACCTAAGTAGTTTCCCACAAGAAAAGGGACTGTGGACAAGACTCTTCTCAGGCATTCAAGGAAAGGACAAGAGAGGACAACTGCAAGCTACGACCAGGGAGTTGGCCATGAGGAACAAAAGCTTGCCCCTGATAGCAGCCAAGTGCTCCAACAGGCACCCAGACAGGCTGTGGAACTTCCATCACTGGAGGTTTCCAAAGCTCAAAGTCTTGAGTAACTTGGTCTAGCTTTAAATCTGGCCTAGTAATTCACAGGGGGTTGGACTAGATGACCTCCAAATGACCTTTCAACCTAAATTTTTCCATGATTCTGTGATTCCAGTTGTATATGTAAATAGAAGTCTAATCAGTGAAAAGCCACCAGTCACATTTATTCTGACAGTGCTTCAGGCTGTTCCACCTGTCAGGTCTCAGACTCCATTACTGTGCTTCTTCAGCCAAAAACTTCAAATACTGCTTCCGAACAGGAAAATCATCAGCCGGCCTGTTGTATGGTGTCCAGACAGGCTCTCCAACGAATAACCTCATTGCCTTCACGTAATTCTGTCAAAGAACAAGAAGTGATAAGTCATTTAAGAGCTCCTTTCCATGGGATCTTCAATCTGAAGGCTTCACTGAAGTTAATGCTTCACTTGCACTTCTGCAAAATTTTTGAAATCATTTCAAGATGGACTGAAAGCTTCACGTATGCCAGGAAATTATACCACTACGCTGCTGTTCCTGCTCCCAGCTACTGCAGGGGGGAAATTCGCACCTCTGCAGTGATACACTGTGTCACTACCAGTGCCTCTGGGTGAGGCAGAGACAGCACTTCTCCCCATTTCAAAGAAACCAAAAAATCCTGTCTTCTGCAATATTTTTTTCACTGGATCCACAACAGTGAGCAAAGCAGCACCTAAATCCTACTTGTTTAGTTAAATAACAGCAATCAGAATGCCCAAGACGGCTACACAATGCTTTTGAGGAGTACCAGAAGTTTCAAAGTGAGGGCCATAAAAGCTAAATGGGAAGTTCAGAGACTAACCAAAAAGTAATGCTACGGGAAGCGTGAAGTCTCCAGATTCCAACAGGAAAAGCAACAGGCCCTGCCAACAGCTAACCAAAAGTATGTCAGGTGCAAGCTACTGCAGAAGTGAGATTTTACATCCTGCAGAAGTGCTCCAACCACCGTTATGGGACACTCTCCTCTCCTTTTCTCTTCTGTCCACGACACTATAGATGTAGACCCTACTCATTCCGTAAATACTGCTGGGTTCTTACCTTCTGCCTAGGGGCTCAGCAGTGTCAAGCATAAAGTTAGTTACCTAGAGAACTTAGCGGCAAAATGCAAGGGTCTAGAAGCACCTAGAGAGTTTACTTTGAAGATGAACTAAAGTTCCTGAAGCAGACAAATGTTTAAGACTTCTTGTGGATTCGACCCGTAACCCCTGTCATCATGTATGTGTAAAGAAAACAGCTTAAAATAGCCACTGTAGCTGATTCACTGTGGATCTGAAAATACAGATATGAAAAGCCAACTTTTCCACCAAAGCAGCACCTCCCTTTTTTTCACATGTATAACAACTGCAATCTGGGCAGCTGATTCAAAATGAGACCATTCTCAAGACTTCTGCCAGAGATGGGATTTTGCCACGCAGGAGAGTGACAGCACACATTTCCCCATTTTCCAGGGTTAATGCTTAGGTTACAAACACAGCCATAAAGGCCCACAAGGACAGACACACAGATCAGGACTACGTGTGCCAATCTCCCAGCCCCAGTGCCAAAACTACCCTCCAAAAGCAGGTCACCTCCTGTGAAGCCAGTCTATCACACGCTGGCTGCAAGTAGTGGCTCCAGACTCTTAAATCTGTCTTTCCCTGAAGGCGAATTTAGCACTCGTGAAAAATGCCACTGCTGGACACAGATATGCTCTGCCTGTCCCTGCAAAGACACACGAGGCACCACCTCCACCTCAACCGACAGCAAGGGCCAACTGTGGGAAGGAGAGCTGCAGGGCTTGGCTCTCATGCCACTGTCACATAAAATATGCTACGGATATCACATGGCAATGACTTGCAGTTACAGCTGATGAGAGGAAGCTGGATTTGTGACCTGGAGATGAAAGGTTCAGATGCTGTGAATTATTTAGTATTTTTCATATTCCTACTTCATATTTAATATGTTTTGCTAACGAACTGTGAGTCTCGGGGCATGCAGTTACTAATGTGATATATATACTCACGTGGATTTGTCATCAAAATTTACGGTAATCTGTAACAACGTACATTCTCATCCAGTGTAAATCGGTGATATATGCCCGCAGGGAGGGTTATCATGTCTCCTTTTTCCATGGAAATCCGGATCCATTTGTCATCCTTGTCTCGAACATCAAAATAGCCAGATCCATCTAAGATGTAGCGAATTTCATCATCTAGGTGTAAGTGTTCTTCATAAAACGTTTTTATCTAGGAATAGCAAATGCCTCTTAAAACTACTGAAAACAAAAAAACTGCAAAGAAATCTGGTAGAAACATGTGGCAAAGCAACAAAAGGCTTTCGGAAGGTAACTGCGCAGTGATTTAACTAATAGACAAGACCAACATGGTTAAAATGGCCAAACCAGCGAGGCAGATCCTGTCTCAGGGCACTTTTAAGCAGGCTGTACATTTCCTTTGGAAGACAGAAATTTCTCTGACAAGAAAAAGCAGCTATAGCTGCACATAACCAGTCTCTGAAGAGCAGTTATGCTTACACTTGGCGGAAAGAGAGGCAGGTAAAGCTTCCCACTGCAGGATTTGGTCCTTGCAGTTGTTCAGTTTGATCAATTTGTGCCTTTTTTTTTTCCCTGACATGCAAAAATAAAACAGAGCTACAGGTTACCCATCCTCTTATACACAGGTGTCAGGCTGAATTAGCCCCATACACTAGTACAAATGCACGTGAAAATGCAGTATATTGCCAAACAAGGCGCATCTACAGCAATCTGATAGAAACAGCGCATCACGCCTGCCCCCACACAGCGAGCCCCAGCTCCAGGCTCTCTCTTCTTGGGCAAGAGCAACAAGTTTCTTCTTCTGGAATGGTGAATTCTTTGTACATTTGACAAGACAGAAGAAAATATGCTCTAAAGGTTGAATTAACGGAGGCCTGAGCAGGTTAGTGCGCAGAGAGCAACGCGATGCCACGTACCATCACCTCAGCACTGTTCAGCCAGACCAGTGCAGGTGTCCCTGAGCCAGCACCGATCCAGCACAGCAAGATGTGGAGAAGTCCATATGCTCTGTCAATAACAGCCTGTCTTTGTGTCAGGTAAGGCCCACCTGGGCATCTGAGTTACTACCTAATTCATCTTCTCATCAATTTAAAATCAGTATAACACAATGAGCTTAGCAAAAAAACGGTGCACTGGGTCCGTGTGGCACGGTTTTGGTAGCAGGAGGGCCTAGAGGCGGGGCTTCTGGAGGACAAAGACCCCACGGTAAAGCAGGTGGATGCCCAAAGGAGGCTGTGACCCTGTGGGAAGTCCACGCTGGAGCCGGCTCCTGATAGGACCTGTGGCCCAGTGGAGAGAGGAGACCACACTGGAGCAGGTTTGCTGGCAGGACTTGTGACCCCGTGGTGCACCCGCACTGGAGCAGTCTGTTCCTGAAGGACTGAACTCCATGAAAAGGACCAAAGCTGGAGCAGTTCATGAAGAACTGTAGTCCATGGGAAGGACACACATTGGAGAAGTCTGTGGCAGACTGTTTCCCATGGGAGGGACCCCACACTGGAGCAGGAGAAGTGTGTGAGGAGTCCCTCCCCTGAGGAGGAAGAAGCGGCAGAGATGACAAGTGATGGACTGACTGCAACTTCCATTCCCTGTTCCCCTGTGCTGCTGTGGAGGGAGGAGGTAGAGAGATCAGGAGGGAAGTTAAGCCAGGGAAGAAGAGAGGGGTGGGGTAAGATATTTTAAGATTCAGTTTTCTCATTATACTACTCTGATTTCACTTGTAACAAACTCAATTAATTTCTCCCCAAGTCGAGTCTGTCTGCCCATGATGGTAACTGATGAGTGGTCTACTTGCTCTTATTTCAACCCATGAGCCTTTTGTTGTATTTTCTGTCCCCTGCCCAGCTGAGGAGGGACATGATAGAGACTCTGGTGGGCACCTGGTGTCCAGCCAGGGTCAACCCACCACAACTGGTAAATGGAAATTTACAGAAGATATGGAAATGCCGCCAGCTTGTTGTCCTCAGATAAGAGCAGCACGCCAGTAGCTGGAGGCCAGGAAGAGAAAGTGCCTTCTAGGAGGCCCATCTGAAAGTCTGGCACCACTCGCATTCAGCTGTTACGAAACAGCCAAGGTACCAGCTGCCCAAAGTAAAAAAAATAAAATTCTAAAAAAAGTCATCTTCTTGTAAGGAGAACATATCCCTCTGACTCGATGAGGTTAATATTCACTTTGAAAAGACATGTTTTGCAAACAGCCTTTAGGATGTTTCAGCCTTCAGAGCCCATGCCCAGCTGACAAGTGCCTGCCTCTCCCCCAGGGAGGCTCTCTGAGGACAGGCCAGCAGGGGCAAGGCTCTGCTGCCAGGAAAATCAGTTTCGAAATGACACAGTGACGAAAACTATTCTTAAAACCTTCAAAGGCAATCTATGGAAGCAAAAGGCTTCTGCTATTTTTAAAATAATACCAGAACTGCTTTTTTAAAGCTAAGGACTTCTGTACAGGAGGAGTTTTACACCTGGGAATTCCATCTCTGCTCCCTTGCACAGGTGAGAAGCTGGCTGCACACTCTAGGGGCAAAATCCTCAGGGAGAGCACGGCCTCACGTACCTTTTCCTCATAATTTGGGAGCTTGTCTTTATGTATGGTTATTATATCCATCCACGAGTAATTTTCTGCTCTCCGAATCTCCTTCAGGCAGGGATCAGTCTCGTAGTTATCAGCATCCAACTGCAAAACAGGCAGAGGGGGGAGAAACAAAACGTTCAGGCGCAACTGCTCACGAGGCGTTCCAGCACCCCC